CTTCTTTCCTTCCACCCCTCCCTCCCTTCTTTCCTTCCACCCACCCCTCCTTTCCTTCCACCCACCCCTCCCCTCTCTTCCTTCCACCCACCCCTCCCTTCCTTCCTTCCATCCACCCCTTCCTTCCTTCCACCCACCCAAAATCAGTGTGAAGAGTTCCATAAGAATACATGGTCACATGGTTTTCTTCTGCTTTTTTAATACAAAAGCAGAAGAAAAATGAATTACTGTGAAACCAGCCTTATACTTCAAAAGACTGGACAAACATCCTCTGTCCTGCCCATACTGGGTCTTTTGAAATAGGTCAATGCATAGAACAGCATTTGAAACAAAATGCAGATGTGCCTTGAAAAGTTCCTATTACTGCTGACACAAAGACTGAATTGGCTTAATGAAAATAACCTTATATCTTTGCATTAATTGTGCTTTGAAAAAAATACAATATTATTTAGGGACCAAAATAAACAATAATATGGAGCCTGCTCATAGCAGTCATGTTGTGTTTGGACTTGCTGCTATATGGATGATGCGTTGCTGTTGAAAACCCTAAATCCAACCCAGCCATCAAAACTGGCTGGTCCATATACTCCATAGCCACTTCAGGAGCCAAGAACCTGTCTCACAAGAGGCTGAGTAATACACACAGAGCTATATAAATGTATAATATTAATGGTGTGTGATTGTGGGGGACATTAGAGTGTAAGCTCCTCTGGTACAGAGAGTGATGTGACTACCTCAGTGTTCTCTGTACAGCACTGCAGTATATGTCAGAGCTATATAAATGTATAATAATAATAGTGTGTGACTATGGGGGCACATTAGCCACTTGCCGCCCAGCCACCGCATATAAATGGTGGCAGGGCGGCGCTCGTAGGCAAAAGCACGTTTTAAAACGGCTGCCTTCAAAACAGGTAGGGGGCGCGCACCTCCCGCCCTACCTGTCCCGCGGGTGTCAGCAGTGGGTGTCAGCCGACGGGTCACGGCCGGTTTTTAACGGCTGTTTTCCTGCGATTGCCGGTGATCGCTAACACAGAGCAGGGCTGCATTGTTTACACACAGCCCTGTTCTGTGTCAGTTCTCTGACAGCTTGTGAGAAGCTGCAGAGTTTCTCTCCCTCGATCAGCTCCCCCCTCTCTCCCCCCCCCGTCCAGTACACACCCCCGCCCCCTAGTAAAACACTCCCCTTACACTGCAAATTCTAAAAATGTTAACCCCTTCTTCCCCAGTGACATTAGTACAGTTTCAGTGTTTTTTTTTTCACTGATCACTGTATTGGTGTCACTGGGGATGTCAGTGACCCCAAGCCAGTTCCCCCCCCCAGTGTCAAAATGTCCGCCACTGTCCCGCAGTCCTGCCATAAGTCGCTGGTCGCCGCCATATGTCGCTGATTGCCGCTATATGTCGCTGATCGGCACCATTATTAGTATAAATAAAAATTAAAAATTCCAGTATCTTTCCCGCCATTTGTAAACGCTATAACTTTCATGTAAACCAATTAATTTACACGTATTGGGATTTTTTTTAGCAAAGACATGTCGCAGAATGCATTTTGGCAGAAATTTATGACTAAATTTGATTTTTGCATTTTTTTTTACTGGACATGTTTTATAGCAAAAAGTCCAAAATATTGTTATTTTTTCCTCAAAATTGTCAGCCTTTTTTTTATAGAGCAAAAAATAAAAACCGCACGGGTGATCAAATACCACCGAAAGAAAGCTCAATTTGTGGGGAAAAAAAGGATGTAAATTTCGTTTATGTACCGTATTGCATGACCGCGCAATTGTCCGTTAAACTAGCGCAGTGCTGTATAGCAGAAAAATGGCGTAAATTGCAGTATTTATACCATAGTTTGTAGACGCTATAACTTTCACACAAAGCAATCAATATACACTTATTGGGATTTTTTTTACCAAAAACATGGAGCAGAATACATTTTGGCTTAAATTTATAACCAACTTTGAGTTTACTATATATTTTTTATAGCTGAAAGTAAAAAATATTGTTTTTCTTCAAAATTTTTGGCCTTTTTTTGTTTATAGCGTGAAAAATAAAAAGCGCACAGGTGATCAAATTACACCGAAAGAAAGCTCTATTTGTGTGAAAAAAAGGACGTAAATTTCGTTTGGATGCAGCATTGCATGACTGCGCATTATCAGTTGAATTAGTGCAGCGCCGAGTAGCAAAAAGAGGCCTGGTCATTAAGGGGGGTAAATCCTCAGGTGCTCAAGTGGTTAGAGTGTACATTTTTGTTTATTAAAAATCTTGCAAACAAACAACATAATAAAAAACATATTTACATATATACAGAATAAATAAATAAAAAAAATATATATATTACTGTATATATATATATATATATATTATATATATATATATTTAAACAAAAATAGTTTACTTCAGCATAAAAAACAGGAAGCTGCTTTTTTGCCGGGAAAAACATAAACAGAACCAATCATATTTTAATATTATTATCTTTATAATGTATCTTAACAAACCCGACCTCCACCTAAACACGTCCTCAGGCTTTACCTGTCAGTGGTCATAATGTTGTAGCGCCCTCTGGTGTACATACTTTTTTATGTTTAGTTAGAGGCTTGCTAGAAGCCTGGGTATGAGTTAGCCTGGGAATGAGTTAGCGAGGTTACTTCAGTATAGGGCTGGAGGGCTCTGCAGGTCAGTGCTCTGATACCTCCCCCTGCTCTAGAAACTAACAGCTAAAACTAATTTCTAACAGCGGTGGGCAGCGAGGAGGAGGGGCTGAGCTGCATACATAGAGAAATCTGGCCAATCCCCAGGCAGGAAGCCTGGCATAGTGGCGTGGTCAGCCCCTAAATATGAGAGAGCCTGATTAGCAGGGATGTTGGGTGGAAGATGGAGTGAGAACATGCTATTGGTTTGGAGCCTGGAAGGGGGCCCCAGGAGAGGAGGGTCTGCCTACAGGCTAAAGCTGTACAGAAGAACCTCCACTGTCCTGCAGTCTACCAGAAAAAGCCTGTCAGCAGGGAAGGAGCCAGCCCAGCATAAGGCCTGAAAGTAGCTTCAACTATTATGCTACAGGAACAGGACAGTGTGAGTACTTTTGCACCCTCTGGGCCAAATGAGGGAGAGGGTGGTCAGATGCAATACCCAACTAGGTCTCCCTGGGACTACATTCTCTGTGTGTCTCTGAATCCCCTGCCCTGGGATAAGCAAGATGGATGAGGGGATTTTCATTTGGGGTCTGAGGAGGTTCATTTAAGGGGACCAAGTGCTCCTTACGAAGACTGCTAAACTGTCAGAAGGAAAGTACCAATCCTGAAGGAGTAGAGAGCCTAGGATCCATTTTGTGCTATTTGCTGGAGTCTAGCCATTTTTTCCTAAAAAGTTTGTCCTCCAAGTTGTTTCATTGGGCATCCTATATACCCCTAGACCCCATCCAAGTTGTGAACCCCTAATAAAACAACAAAAAAACAAGCTCATGGACTGTTTACTGACTTTGGATGAAAGTGTGGAAAATGCGTGTTGCCTGACTGTGCAGAGCTTAGGGGGACTAAAAAAACTCAGCTTCTCTCAAGAGGGAAGCGCTACATGTTATGACTGATTGGTGTATGTATGCAGGGCTGCTGATAAGGGGGTACCACCGGGTCACCTGTAGGGGGCCTGGGCCCCATCACAGAACAGGGGGACCCGGATGGCAGCTTCAGGCTTCATGCAAGATCATGTGTACAGTCAATGCATTCATACTGTTCCCCTGTGTACATGGCTCCCCATGGTTGCAGGAAAGAAAATTGCATCATGTATGGCCTGCCTATAACAGGCTTGGGAAAGATAACTTTCTCTTAAGAACAAAGCTGCATTTTGTTTTAGGTGGGTAGGCTGTGTCAGGGATGGAGTTTTGGGGGCCCCTTCAGGTAGGCTGTAGGGCCCCATGATTTCTAACAGCAGCCCTGTGTGTATGTGTGTGTATATAAACTGACCTCCATCTATTTACAGTGACTGACCTCCCAGTACAGCTGGTGTAGAGGTCTGGGGATTTAAAATCCCTGCTCTTCTTCCTCTTTACTCTGCAGGGCCTCCAAGATGGCTCAGAATACTTTGACTTTGAATGGTCAGCGCTGACACTGATCAACCAGAAGCCCTTTGGTGCATGCCAGAAGCCCATGAGAATGATGAGGAGGAATAACACTTTAAGGTCTAAGGGCTTAGACATTTTTTTTCAGTAAATGGAAAGAAAATTGGCTTAAATACTTCATTAAGAGAGTAGTTAACCATGATTCATACTCTGAATGTTCTAAGGCAGTTAGTGGTGCACACCAAAGTTCAGTTGTAGGGCTCTTACTTTTACACCTATTTAAAATGATATAGAATTTAAAGTACAATTTCCTTGTTTGCAGATACTAAGCTATGAAGAGGAGTATGTTACTAAGCTATGAAGCCCTTACAAGATGTCTCTAATTTACAAGCAGACTTAAATGCAGTTTCAATGTAACTGTGTGACAAATTGTTTAATATTGATAATTGTAAAGCTATGCAATTGGGGGCTAAACGCATTCATGCAAATGTATTCATGCAAATGTATTCAAAGAGGAGATAAAATAAGGGAATCTATAATCAAGAAGGATTTGCATGTTCTGGTAGATCATAAATGTTTTAAAATCCCGCAGTTTTTAAAGCAAGCAAAAATTGGTATAGAGTCCAGAAAGAGAGACATAATTTCATTCTTCTACAAATCATTAGTAAGACCTCACCTAGAATATGCAATTCAGTCTTGTTCACCAGTTCACAAAAAGGATATTTAGGAATTGGAATAAGTGCAGAGAAGGACAACCAAACTGATAAGAGGAATGGAAGGGCTCAAATAAACCCAAAATGGCAACAACTAGTATTGCCATGGGTAATTTATTAGGGCTTTTGTCTACTAGAATGGCTCTGTCTGTGTATTAAGATTCTACAGTCCATTTGTAAACCACAGATGTTGAGGTATATGAGTGTTTCTCTGTGTCTGTTCAATTTCGTATTGCTTTCACTCATTTGGGCAGTCACGGGGCCATAAACCAGAGTGTGGAGCCACAGTGTGGCGGTGGAGGCAGCAGCAATGGGAGGCCATACAGCACCCTATGACAAAAATGGAAACCACCAGCAGAGTGAGGAGACCTGAAAGTGGCACAATGGCAGAGTGTGGCGATAGAGACAGCAGCAATGGGAGGCCGTACAGGGACCCATGACACACTCTGGACCTGGCAGCAGCATGAGGAGGCGGTTTACAGGGGCCCATGGCAGATTACGGGCCTGGCAGCAGCATGAGGAGTCGGTACAGGGGCCCATGGCAGATTACGGGCCTGGCAGCAGCAATGGGAGGCCGTACAGGGGCCCATGACACACTCTGGACCTGGCTGCAAGCATGAAGAGGAGCGGTACAGGGGCGCATGAACAGATTACGAG